TTTCTCTCTCTGCTCTTCCCCCTTTCATGCTGCGACTGCCGCTGCGGGAACCTGTTCTGTGCCATTCACCGGTACTCCGACATGCACGCTTGTCCCTACGACTACAAGGCGGAAGCTGCTGAGAAGATCCGTAAGGAGAACCCCGTCGTTATCGCCGAGAAGATCCAGAAGTTGTGAAGGAGGGCTGAGCAGCTCGGACTGCAGCCAGGTGGCCTGGTGCTCTTCCCCTTCCTCCCAGCCTTCCTCCTCTTCCTCCCAGCCCCATGTCTGATGGGAACTCCAGCAGCACACGCGAACCAGCACCCAGACACGGGGACTCCTCGCACCTCTTTGACAAGACAGTTGGTGTCCCTTCTCTCCCTTCCTTCCTGCCTGACCGCCACAACTCAGTTTATCCGTTCTCAACCAGCTTCCCAAATTAAAAAGGACCGTCCTGCCCCGCTGCTCCAGCGCTAAGACCTTCAGACTTGTGTTCTGCCGGGGCTGTTTGCGCGGTGTGGCCAGCAGGGCTCCGTCGGGCAGCTTTTCCTGTCAGCCAGCAGCTCTAAGCACTGCAGACTGCCCGGGATTCACGGCTGGAGGCCGTAAGCGACCGCTGGACTTTGTTCCCTCTGCCCCACCGTCTCTTTGCGGCAGACATAGAACCGGGAGCTAAGGAATCCCGGCAGCCAGGCTGCCTTCTGCTCCCTGAGAGGTGTTTGTTCTCAGATGCAAAAACGAGGATTCTGTAGTGTTAATGCCCCAAATACCCCTCCCCTCCCTTTGAGACACTGTTGGTGAAGCACCAAGGTGGTTAAGCAGCAGAAAATACCGGCACAGTAAAGTTATTTTGTGGCTTGAAGCAACGTAGACGCGCTCCAGCTGCAGGTCAGGACCTTTAGGAAAGTCCCGCTCGCGGCGCTGTGCCTCTTGCTGCAGGGAGGGAGCAGGCTCCTGGGCTTGGTCCAGCGTCGTGGCCGGGCTGGGGGACACCCTTGCACCAACTTCCCCTGCTTCAACACCCCCTGAATAACCGCTGGCTGCTTCCCGAGCGAGGTTTGTCTGTAACACGGCAGCACCTACACCTCTCCTCTCCCCTCTGGGCCCTGTCTTTCGCCTTATGTGATTCTTTCTTGTCGGGGTTGTGACAAAGCTCAGATCGCGAAACCTCCGCTTCCTTTCCCAGCCAGCCCTGCTGTCCCGCCTCGCTGCTTGTCTCCATGAGATGAGAGGCAGGGCGGGATCCCCAGGAGATGCTCTGAAAGCTGGACAGAGGGATCTGGGGCACAGGGAAAGGCATGTGGAGGGCTGCAGGGCACGTGAAAAGTCACAAGGAGGGTCCTGGGGTACCCAAGAGGACAGGCAGGGGCTTTCAGAAAAGCTTATGGAGAGCCCCGGGGAGCAGGGAGAGGCACTTGGAGGGCTCTGGACCCACCAATAGACTCGAGAAAGCTCTCAGGGTGCTGAAAGACTCAGGGAGGGCTCTGGAGTGCAAGGGAAGGCAAAAGGTGAGCTTTGAGGTACAGTGGACATGCTCAGGGCACCCCAAAAGGCACCTGGAGGGCCCTGGGGCACAGGGAAAGCCAAACACCAGGTTTGATAGCACTGCAGGAAAAAAACCACATTTTAAGGCTCCAGAGCTGTTA